TAACACCAAAGAAGCTATAGATATGAAAAGTAAGTATGTGACAAGATGCTTCACAGCATGTGTCTGGAGGGAAATGTTAATTAAGACAGTACGGAGAAGCCACTGTGAACTTATTAGAAAGTCTAGAGCCCAAAACACACAAATTCTGAATGCTGTCAAAGACATGGAGCAATAAGAAAATTGATAATATGGAAGACAATTTTGTGGTTTCCTACATAAGTAATCACACATTTACTACACGGTACAACATTAATATTCTTCAGTGTTTACTTAAAGGCATAAAGGTGCCGAATACTTATGTCCTTACAAAAATCTGCATGTGTATGCTTAGAGTGGTTTTATGTATAAGAGCAATTTTACATATACTTGCCAAACTTGGAAGATAGTAGGGCTACGATGAAAATGTTGCAGAATAGAATAAATGTACTCCAGCAATTTCAATAACATAGGTGAAATGAAGGAATTTTTAGAAACATCATCTTACCAGAAGTAAAAAAAAAAACCTTAAGAAGATTGAATCTATAATTATAAATCTAATAAAGAAAAGACTTCCACCATGATTTAACTTTTGAATCCTACCAAACATTTAGAGAATATTAACAATAATAATTCTTAAATATTAACAATAATATTAATAATAAACAAATAATAATTCTTTAAAAACTAGAGGTAAGAACACTTTTTAACTCATTGTGAGAGTCACTCAAAATTAACAGCAAAGCCAGATGAAGACATTACATAAAAAACAAACAATATACCAATATTCCTTATGAATATTAATGAAAAATTCCCCCAAATATTGGAAAATAGTATTCAACAACATACTGAAAGTATTATAAAGATTAGAAGTATTTATTCTCAGAATCCAATAAAGTTTCAACATCTGCAAATCACTTATATTATATACTGCATTGATAGTGAAGATTAATAAATATATAACTTAATAAAAAAATTTCACAAAATGTTTCAGTCTTTCTTAAAAAACAGTATAAATTTGTAATAGAAGGAAATTTCCTCCATGAAATTAAGGTCATATATGTAAAACTCACAGCTAATATCTGACTCAGTGTTGAATGATTTAAAGTTTTTCCTTAAGATCAGGAACATGATGAAGATATCTCCATTTCTGTTTAACATGGCATTGAAAGTTCTAGGCATAGGCAGGCAACATGAAATAAGCAGAGATATTATCTCTGTTTACAGATGATGTCTGATATGTAGACAACCCACAAACACATTCACACACACACACACACATACACAATTCAAACTAAAAAATAATTTAACAATTTCAAAAAAGTTGTATATAAAATCAGCATACAAATATCAGGTATGTTTCTGTACACTAACAATCATAATCTAGAAAGGAAATTGACAAAGACAGTCTTTTTAAAATAGCATGAACTTCTTTGTCTGAAAAATGTCTGTTCATTTCGGAAGCCTATTTTTGGATTGGGCCTTTAAATTTGGGAGGTCTGATTTTTTTAAGTTCTTTATATATTCTAGATAGTAGACCTTTGTCTGAGGGACTGCTGGTAAAAATGTTTTCCCACATTGTGGGTTGTCTCTTCATGCTGTTGGTGGTTTCTCTTGCTGTACAGAAGCTTTTTAATGAGAAGAGATCCCACTTGTTGATTCTTTGTGGTAGTTCATGTGCGACTGAGGTTTTGTTCATGAAATCCTTTTCTATGCCAATGTCTTCAAGAGTTCCACCTAACTTCTCTTCTAGCTGGTTTAGTGTTTTTGTTTTAATATTTAGATCTTTGATTGATTTCAATTTTAGCTTAGTGCATTGTGAGAGATATAGGTCTAGTTTTAATCTTTGCAAGTTGAAACCCAATTTTTCCAGCACCACTTTTTAAAGAGGCTATTTTTCCCCCAGGGAAGGTGTTTGGCTCCTTTGTCAAAGATAAGGTGGCTGAGTATGTCTAGAGTTGTTTCTCCATCTTCTAATTTGTTCCACTGATCCTTGGATCTGTTTCTTTGCCAGTACCATGCTGTTTTTATCACAGTAGCTTTGTAGTACAGTTTCAAGTTGGGAATTGTGATACCCCCTATCTTGTGTTTGTTGTCTAGAATTTCTTTTGCTATTCTGGGTATCTTAATCAAATTTTAAAAAATAAACTTAATAAATTTAAATGGCACACATCCTGTGTTCATGAATTGCAATAATTAATATTGCTAAGAAGAAAAGAAACCAATGGGCTGGGGATTTGGCTCAGTGGTTCTGCCACTTGCCTTACAAGCACAAGGACCCGAGTTTGATCCCCAGTACCAAAGAAAAAAAGAAAACCACCAAACCAATTTCACACATTCAATGTAATCCCTATTAAAATCCCATTGATGTTTCTGAAGAAATAGAAAAATTCATACTAAAGTTTTTATAATACCTCAAAGGATCCCATATAATCGAAGTAACCTTGAAAAAGATCAAGGTTAGACACAGTAGATTTCTGATTTCAATATTTACTATAGAGCTGTAGTCAAAAATGTTCCAGTAGCATAAAGACAAACAGATCAATAAGATAGAGGAGAGATCACAGAGATAAATCCTTGTGTATATTGTCAAACGACTTTCAACAAAGCCATTCAATAGGAATGAAAAATCTTTTCAACTAATGATACTACTAAAACTTAATGCTCATGTGCAAAGAATGAGGTTGGACCTTTACCTTACTAAAAATCACACAAACACATCAAAGATCTAAATATGAGAATTAAAACTCTAAACATGGAGGGGTGCAGAAAGGAGAGGAAAAAGAGAATTTAAGATGTTTTGTATACAAGTACCAACTACCAACTTCACACAAATAATTTAAACTTATGTATAGCAAATGTACACTAATAAAACATAAATTTAAAAAATTATAAAACTTAAGGAATGTCAAAGGGAAATCTTCGAGATGTTGTCTTTGGTGATGATATTTGGAATGAACCTCAAAGCAAACAACAAGAAAAAAAGTAGGATTGGACTGCATCAAAATTAATAACTCATGAAACTCAGTCTGAATGTTACATGTCCTTGCTTCCTACCAGTAAAATCAGGTATTTTCAAATAGAGACCATTGCTGATGTCTGCTTGGCATAAACCTGAGTGGGTAAGCTGAAAATATTACCATGAGGAAAGTTCATGTGTAACTGTGTGCAACTTTTGGTTGGAGTTAAAAGTTATTCACTCATTTTCATTTGACCTTAAATATATCCTTTGTAAACTCTATTACTCTTATTTTCCTCAGTGCCTGTGTGAGATAATCTTAGAGAACAAGCATTTTAACTGAACATTATTGTTTATTCTGCTGGGTGAGGGGATAGTACTTTCTCATTAGATAATCTATTTAAAGAATTTAAGGCTTTAAGAAATGTGGACTTCAAGGATTTATAATAGTAAAGTTCATTTTCATAATATGTTTAACTGTAATTTACTTTTAATAAGTCAAAGTGAATATGCTCACATGTGCATATTTGCTTATTTATATAGAATTTCTATTGAACATTTTTCTGAAAAAATGTGAGATACATATTTTATTCTTTATTTCTTTACAATTTTATCAGAAAAAATAGCTTAACCAGGACTGCATGAAGAAAAATTTAAATAGATCAGTTATGTTTTTTGATCTATTTAAAAAGCACCAGAAATCATGTTTAATGAAACGTAATTTGTTGAATGCATTTCTTTACATCATACATTAAATAGTCAAAGTTATATTAAGATATTTTTATTGTCTTTTGTTTTGCTCTATATAATTTTTATTAGTAGATATTTGCAGTATGTAATGATTACATCTCTTTTTTTTTTTTTGGTACCAGGGATCGAACTCGGGTCCTTGTGCTTGCACAGCAAGCGGCGAAACCACTGAGCTAAATCCCTGGCCCAATGATTACATTTCTTATGGAGAGTTTTTCCATGTTCACAATACATCTTAATTCTTCTTTCATCCACTTTCCATTCCTCTCCCTTGCTCTTTCCTCCATCTCTTGGTTCTCTTTCCTTAATTTAAAACATGAGCTACTCAAGAGAAATGTAATCATTATGGACTGCAAACATATACCAATAAAAATATTTTTTAAAACAACAGCCAAAAACCCCCAAAGCCACAAGGTGTGTGATTTTATTTGATCCACACAGCATTTTGCCTTTCATGATTTATGTGATTGGCATTTTACACCAAGCACACGTTTGTAGTTCTATGTGCCAAAGAGCAAAGCTCTATATTTGCTCTTAGTCAATAAGGTTTATAACATAGAAAATATAAGAAATCATAGTGTAAAATGTCTACTTATTCCCAATTTAATCTTTTTTGTATCTCCATTTTTCTATTTGAAAAGGCACGAATTTTTATTACTTTGAGCTAAAGAGAATTATATTTGTGACATACTGTATTTTAGAAAGGGACTATTTCAAAGACATAAACTGATATGGAAGGCTCTATAAAATGTTCAACCTAGTTCAATCTCATAAAAGCATCATGTGCATCTTTACAATATGTATATATACATATGCATATATATGCATGTGTCATTTGCAGAGCTGGGACTAACCAAAGTCTCATGAAAGCTAGAAAATCATTACACCACTGGAGGTACACCCCTAGGCCCAAAAGTTATTTATTCAACTGATATATCATCTTGAGAAAGCTACAGATCATTAGTTTGAGCTTCAAGAGAAAGTTCCAGAATTATTGAACAAAAATTTCATCACTTTTACTGATTCAAATCAAAGACACAATTAATTCCCATTGAAATATGATAACAGATTGAAAATTGTTTATTTATATATATTTTGCAATAAAAATTTCATGGGTAAAAAACTATTTCTGGAAATTAGAGAATATATTAAATATTAAAATGTAGCCTTTAATAAATATGTGTCATTTACATTTTAGTACTGAAACATAGTACTACATTTATATAACTAACTTTCACTATTTAAAAGAGAACTCTTGGCTTAAATACAGATGTTAATTGTATTGACTTGCATATGTTTCTCTTTTTTTTTTTAGGCTGTACTTTGGAGGTACAAATTTTCTCAGCTTAAAGGTTCTTCAGATGATGGCAAGAGCAAAATCAAATTTTTGTTTCAGAATCCAGATACTAAACAGATTGAAGCAAAGGTAAACACAAGAAATTCATCACATAACACAACTCTGATTACATTAATCCAATTAAGAAGCAAAGGCAGAAGATTAGCAGAACCAAAAGACCAAGAACACACATTCTCTGCTTACTTTGAAATATCCCTTATGGCCAAAAGAATAAATTCACTTTAAGATTTTAATGATAAAATTTCACTGAAAGCCATCACTTAAATTATACACAATTAATTGTATTTCTTCATTTTAATACTTCATGAACTGCATTTGTGTCACAACTAAAATAACATTCTAGAAGCTAAATGGATCACTAGATGGTTTCACATTCTAGATCACTTAAAATACTGAGAAAAATTGACTCCTTTATCATTACTTATTCTTTCCTTAAATACTTAACACATATTACTACACAAAACTATTTTTAGAATCATTTTTTGCATGTAATTCTGTGTCAAAAAATGGATTAAATGAAAGAGATTTTTATTTTCAATATTTTGTAATATATTAACTATGCTAGTTTTGACTCATCAGAAAGATTCACTATTTTTATTTCAATGAGAACATATTTGTAGATATTCAAAATCTAAATTATTCTAATATATAATTTATAATAATAATGTTTGGATAAGAATAAGTTATGTACATATTATCCCAATGTGGAAGAAAAAATATATAGTGAATAGTAAAATTAAAAATTAATTACATAGATGTGAAAACCCGGTATAATTTTCAAAGATGAATCAAAATTACCATAATTCTGTTGTACCTCTTTACTTACTGAATTCAGGGTGAGAGACTTCATCTGACATTCAAACTCTTCTAGTCCTGGCCCTATGTGATATCCAGACTAAGCCTCTTGTCAGGCCACTCTGCATTCAGGTCAGACACACTCCTTTGAACAAGGTGATCCCTTCTATGCCATTTGCATTCCTCCTTAACTTTTTTCCAAATTGCTCTAGGGATACACATTCTTGTTTTATATTTGTCTTTTCACTTGTCTTTACTGCCTCTTCTTATACAGGAGGTTGTGTAAATTAGGAACTGTTAATTTAATACCCTTATGCTGGTTCCATCCCTACTTCATTTATCTAAATTATTAGTGTTACTATAGCCTTGCCTTGTATTTATATCCCATCAGTTTAGACAGATGCCTTGATAACTTCATCAACTTACTTTGTTGAACTTGCTTCCTAATTTTCAAGTCTACACTCCTAAGATGTCCTCTTCCCTATACATGTATCTCTCTATGCACCTGTCTTCTCTCTACTTCTCACTCCCTCCACAACCAACTGCCATTAATGGATCAGTTACTTTGTGTCAGCTAGGTATATTGCTATTTAAATTGATTCTTGCTGTTACTATCAAGAAATGCCTCACTACTGCACAAAAATATTTACTTTAGCTCTTGCTAGAACTTTCAATATTTCAAAACACAGCATAAACTTAATACTGGTAAAATTTTATTAATATAAGTTCTGTATATTAATTTTATTGGTACATTTTAGGTATACAGTTTAATGACATTCAACATTGGAAATTTGCACCTTTACATAATCTCTCTTGGTTCTTATTTTTTCCCCTTTCCCTTGCCTTCCTTTCACCCCTTCCTCCCTCCCTATTTACAAAGACTTTATTTCCACTTTTTCATTTCCTCATATTAATTCCATTCCCTTCTTTCCTTTCCCCTATCCCTCCCACTTCCCCTTCCCCTTTGCCCCTTTTCTTCCTATTTCATATTATCTATTATACCATCTAGTCCGTATTTGCACTTTCAGTTTCTCACACTAGAGAAATTATTTGGTATTTACACATATATGTCCTGTTTATTTTACTTAAGAGTATCACCTCAATATGCATTATTTTAGCTATAAATGTCGCTAATTTCTCATTTTTTTTATGGCTGAGTAGTACTTCATTTTAGAAAAAAACCACATTTTCTTTATCCAGTCTCCAGTTGATGGGCATTTGGGCTGTTTCCAAATTTTAGCTATTACAAACTGTGCTGCTATGAAGACGGGTGCACATATATCACTGCGGTATGAGTCTTTTAATTCTTTGGGGAAGATACTCAACAGGGGAATAGCTGGGTCAAATGGGACTTCCAGTCCTAGTTCTTTGGGGTATCTCCATACTGATTTCCACAGTGGTTGCACCAGTCTACACTCCCACCAGCAGTGGAGCAGGGTTCCTCTTTCCCCACATCCCCACCAGCATTTGTTATTGTTTGATTTCATGATAGCAGCCATTCTTTCTGGGGTGAGGTGGAATCTCAGCATTGCTTTCATTTGCATCTCTTGAATGACCAGTGATGTTGAACATTTTTTAATGTTTATTTGCTATTTGTATTTCTTTGTCTGAGAAATGTAAGTTCTTATTCTTCAGGCTGGTAGGAAAACTTATGCACCAGTTGCTGGCGGCAGTATAGTATTTGATATTTTTTGTTATTACACTTATAACACTTTTTAATGAAGTAATAATCCCCTAGCACTGAAGCAAAAACTAAGTTTAATGAAATGATTACTAACTCTAATATTTATAATTTTCTTTCATGTAGTATAATTATGTATGTAACTCTGTAACTAATTATATTTCCTTTATATTGAATATTACTTATTTTTGCTATTCATCTTTTAAATATTATTTTATAATTTCATTCATTCAGTGCAAATTTTTAAGAAGATAGTATTTGTTTGAGTGTGATTCTCAAACATAAATGTACCATTTGTAGAATAGTAGAAAGAACAGTCTTAAAAGCAGTAAGTCCATGCCATTTGATACATTGAAAAATGTCTTTAAATTCAGTATCTTTGAATATGAAACAAGAGAAAAATAGAACCTCCATAGGTGGCAGTAAAAATACCAAATTATAAATTGCAAGCATTTAACAAGAAAAGGCATTGACTAACTGGAGTAAAGACCAGGTCTATGGAATTGTTTAGGCATTTTTACATCTATAACTGGTTATCATCTCTGCTGACAACATAGCAATTTCTTAATTAAATTAGAACATGTGCTATTTGGTAGCCTTAAGTGCAACTTGTTAGCAGTAAGCTAATTGAGTAGTGAGATGACATTCAAGTAGAGGAGGAAAGCATAATAGCGTGAGGTTATTTTTGGACATACGTTTTATTTTCTTCAGGACAATGTCCACAAATGCAAATTGCTGGGTGTTGTTTATTTGGTTTTAAAGAAGTTACCCAAATATTATACCAAAATAGCTGTAACATTTTATATTCTAGCCATCAATATATGAGAGATGTAGTTTCCCTACTTCCCTGCCATTATTGTATCTTTTCACTCTCCTTTTATGTATTTTTTCACATCATAGTTTTTAATTGCATTTTCTCAATACCTAGTAAGAGTAATAAAACACAGCTCTTTATGGCATATCTCCTAGTCCAAATTAGTCTTTGGTGAATTATTGTTAATTCTTGGTTTTTGCATGCTAATTGTATTGTTTATTTTTATTGCATTCTACTTTTTCTGTGTTAATCATGCTGGATACTTTGCAAAGAAGCAAAATTATTTTTTCATTGATTTTCAGTTTTGTTCTTTGCAATCGATTAAGTGAATTCTTCTTTAAACCTTAGCTTCTTTTTTTGGAGCTTTACTTTTATATTCCTTCTATCTAATGTGAAGTAGGATTTTAGATTACTAATTTGGAGTTTCTTTCTAATGTAAGGATTTGGTGCTACAATTTTCCTCTTAGTTCATATGCTGCATCCCTCAAATTCTGATATATTGCGTTTCTATTTTCATCTTTTCAACGTGGTTTTGTTATTTCCTTTAAGGCTGTCTCTTTGAAAAACGGCCTTTTGCTCCCTTTGTTCTTTTTAAAATTTGATTAATTTTAGGCTTCTTTTAGGGTTACAGCACAAATTGGTAGAAGATTCAGAGATTTCTTATATAAGCTCTGCAACTGTCTTCGACTTATGAACACCTCTCTTGGAGGTACCACATTGTAACAATCAAGTATTCTACACTGACACATCATTATCCTCTGACATCACAGTTCACATTAGGGTTAACTACAGTACATATAACACTAACAGTTAACTCTATTGTAAAATACAGGCTAATTTCCCTGACATAAAGATACTCTTGCTTTACCAATTCATCCCTACCTCTCCATGCCATTGACAACCACCCTTTTTTTTTTTACTGTCTCCCTAGTTTTTCATTTTTAAGCATTTTATGGGCTGTATGATACAGTGTGTAGCTTTTAAAAATTGACTTCTTTCACTTAGTAATATGCATTTTAATTTTTGCATATCTTTTAATGGTTTGATAGTTCATTCTTTTTAGTACAGAAAAATTCAATATTCCATTTTCCAGTTGTACCACAGTTTAGTTACCCATTAACCTACTGAAGAATAGCTTGGTTACTTCCCAGTTTGAGTGCTTATGAATAAAACTGCTGTAAATATCTATATTTAGATTTTTTTCTACATGCATAAGATTTCAACTCTTTAAATGAATACTAGGATGCTTGATTGCTGGATCAGTGAGTGAAAAAAAGTGTTTAGTTTTTAAGAGACTGCCAAACTGTCTTTCAAGTGGATAATTTTGCATTTCTATCAGCAATGAACGAGCATTCCTCTTGCTCCCCATCTTTGCCACCATCTGGTTTTGTCAGTGTTCTCAACTACCTTGAGAATGGGATCATCCGTGCATTCTTTTTGGTTTTGTGGGAAAGTTCTAAATTCCTTGCAGTGTAGTCTTATATTAATTATAGGTTTTTGATAGGTTTTCTTCATAAAGTTGAGATGTTTTCTATGTATTCCTAGTTTCCTGAGAACACTTAATCATAAAAAGGTATTACAGGGCCAGGGATTTAGCTCCAGCACCTGCCTCACAAGCCCAAGGTCCAGAGTTCGATCACTGGTACCAAAAAAAAAGGTATTATATACTGTCTCTGAACTTAATGATATAGTCATATGATCTTTTTTAGCCTGTAAATGTGATGGACACATTGACCTTCTAAACATAAATAATTCTTAAATATCAACTGTAATAACACA